ACCCACAAACCATACCATAGAAATATATATATATATATATATATATATATATATATATATATATATATATATATATATATATATATATATATATATATATATATATATATATATATATATATATATATATATATATATTCTTTGTGGGAGATATCCCACAAACCATGTATGGATGCAAAAACAGTTATATATAGCAAACAATTGAATATGATTTGTATTGGGACTCAAAAAACACATATCATTTTATCAGACTAGTATATAGGTTTTTTTCTTTGAGGTAAATTTTCATCAAAGCACCTGTGAGAACTAAAGGTGTTTCTTAAGGGGTAAAGTGCAGCATACTTGTGGGTAGGGACCCACAAACCATATCATAGCAATATGGGGGAGATATCCCACAAACCATGTATGGATGCAAAAACAGTTATATATAGCATACAATTGAATATGATTTGTAAAGGAGCTTTAAAAACACATATCATTTTATCAGACTAGTGTATTTTTTTTTCTTTGAGGTAAATTTCCATCAAATACTTGTGAGAACTAGAGCTGTCTCCTAAGTGGAAAAGTGCATCCTGTGGGACATACTCAAAGAGAATGCAGATTTGTACAAATGCATTAAACAGAACATCCAGGGATGTGCTAAGGAAGTTTGCTTTGTAAACTCCTTGTGATAAGACAAAATTGAAACTGTTCTCAATGAATCACGGAAGCATGAAATGTAGGCCAGATGAAGCATGCAAAGCACCCATTGAAATGATCATAGATATGTAGATACACCTCAGGAGGAAGTTTGGTTTGTGTACCCCTTTTTATAAACTGAAAACAGACCAAAAAGTTGGCCTGATCTGTAAAACGTCTTTTAAAATATATGCATCGTATATCTTAAGATTGGTTTGCAAATCTCAAAAGATAAGCTGGTAACAGACCACTTTCCTTAACTGAAATTATTGACGCCTGGTCAAACGCAGCATAAAAAGTGGGAGAACATTTCATAGTCATATATGTGTAGTAATATATAAGCCTAAAAGAAACCCTATAGAATCACAGGTTCCTTCCAACTTCAACTATTTAGACCTGACATTAAGTGCTAATCTGTCATTTGTCTCCTTTAACATTTCTAAATTGTCTGGAGATTAAGATATCGTTTTAGATTTAGAAAGTATGGTGGGTTATTACAAGAAAAATAATACCAAATTTACCTTATATGGTTAGTTAAGAGAACACACGAATAGCAATTGACTGAACTTTACATGATTATAGATGCTGTCGATGGAAATTCAGGTCTTTTTACAATATATTATTTTAGATTAAGAAATTACATGCTATAACAAGTAAAACAACACCATATTTACCATGTTTCAATGAAAAATAAGAGAAAAAGTTATGGTCAATTACGAGAATACAACCATATGGATTGATTGACCCTAAGATGATGATTGTTGGATCCATGCTTTCTATGAAAATTCAAGTTCTCATTAAATATCAGAAGCTCTATTTTTCTAAATCAGTAGCATTAAGAAATTTAGTTTGATTATTCAGGCCTGTAAATACATATTAAAAATTAAATTTAACAAGGACACCGCAAAGAGGAGCATCCCTCGCAAAGAGCTTCTCTATAAATGCAAGGGAGCATTCGAAATCGATCCCGATGCAAATTACGTCACTTCCGTTTCGCATAGGACATAACCCACACACGATCGATTACGTTACTATATCCCTCCAACTCCGTTGCGAGGGGATAATCAGATTTGCAAGGTGTGTACCAAAGCTATTAGAGGTATCCCTCATCTTCCTCTATCGCTCAAATGCAATATGGCTCAGATATTTTTATATACATGATTTAACTCGTCTTTTATACATTTCCAAGTTGCATATTATCCCAAAATCACATTTAAATTTCCAAAACATAAACATTTTGGTTCTGAAAAGGAAAATGCCAATTTTACTTCAACTGAATGGAGTATGTAGCTACAATTGTTAGTCATCTATACCCCACCCCTCTAGATAGCTGATGATAATTCAGATCATGTTATATATGCAGAAATATTAATTTTACTTTTCTAAACAAAATGAGGATGGATCATTTACTTTTTTCATTCTTTAAGGTGTTGGACCAAGACTTTTTTAAAATCAGTAATTATTATTTTTTGCACTGGTCCCACCCTGGTGATAAATATTGCCTGGACCCTGAGTTCGAAGGTCAGGGGCATACTGATTTTGTCATGTCTGTTATTTTTCATAAATTTAATCTTTCCTACATTTTTATGAGAAGAACAATAAAGAAATTTGAAAAGATCTTTATGAGATCTAATTTCCTTAGCAATCGCCCATTTGTTTCATGAAGTTTTATTTCGGTAGGGTCCAAATGTTAACGTTAACCTTTCTTATAACATCTGAAAAAAAAGGTTTGAGACTTTATTTTGGATTTTTGGCTTTTTGCACATTA